GGAAGGGAAGGGCTGATGTCAGGGACACCTCACAGGGGATGTTTGTTTAGAGAGCCGGGTGTGGCACCTCCTGCACGGTTAAAAGGCTTTGATTTTATACAAAGGGATGTGCCAAAATATCCCAGTTTGTAATGGCCATCACTGAGGGAAGGAAGGATGTGGAAATTAGGCGGTTACCACTGCACTCGCTTTGAGGGTTCAGGCAGCTGAGGATGAGGGGCCATGTAGGAGCAGTGGGGTGTGGTGGGAACTGTAGCAAACATGAACACATACATCTAGTCTAAAGGAGACCCTTGCTTTCCTGTTCTAGCTCACCTGATTTAAACACACAGACAAGTAAATGTTAGGGGGCCTGGATGTCCAGCGGGCCTGAGGCCCGCAACTGTAGTTTATTTCCAGTGTGTCTGTCACGTTCACCCCAATCCCATGAGGTTACAGTGTGCCCGTCACACTCACCCCAAGTCTATGAGGAAGCCATTACCAAATAGTGGCCCATGATACAGATAAAGAAACAACAGGTTATCAAGAGCCCAAGTCCCACACTTTGATATACCAGCTTTCCCAAACCCTCCCATAAACTGCACTGTTTCCGATTCCTTCCCTTCTGGGCTTGGAAGGGAGGCCTTGTGTGACACAAGGGTTTCCCAAGGGCGCACACCTGCAGAACCTTAGGCACAGGCGCAAGGCTACTCCTCTCCCTCAGCCTGGACTTGTACTTACCACTTGTGTAGACTAGATGTGTTTCCTGAGTAGCAAGCATCTCCTTGCTGAGAGGTGTGAGTTAAAGAATGTAGACGGCATCTCTATACCAACAGAAGTCCCTGAATGTGGCTGCAGAATAAGCTGAACAGCCCTGATTTTGTAGATGGGGTCTTTCTCCACAGTGCTAAAGAGCAAAATCCTTTCTTCACAAGGATGAAATCTGTGCATGTACCCAGTACCCTGGTGATCAATGGTGTGGTCCCTTCCCTGGAGGTCCTCACAGCTCAGGCAGAATGACAGGGACATGAACAGGCGGTAAGGAAGGGCCAGAGGAGCTACATGACATTGAAGGCAGACCATCATTAAGACTGAAGCAGTGCTGGCCAAATACAGGCGAGTGAGGAGCAGGGTGGAGTGCTGGGAGCTTGGAACAGGTCACATCGCACAGGCCTGTGGACCAGGGAATGACCAGGGACCTAAGCCCTGTACCATCAGCTTGCTCGCTGCTCAGGCACACATGCCCTGCTGTAGACTCGGTGTATGGAACATGGCCAAAGAGGCACCTTACTCTAGTGGGAAGGCAGATTGTTCCAGATCTGTGAACAGTGAAGCAGCAGTGTAATTCAGGGTGAGTGCTGTGCAGGGTCTGCTCTCTGTAGAGGAGCCGCCTGTGAGCTGTGCTGAGGGGCTGAGTTCAGTGCTGAGAAGACAAACACACTTGTTTCTTTTCATGGTGCAAACATCACCCACCACCAAGTTTTTATAAAATAAACTGAATGTTAATATCCTTAATGCAAAAGATCAAAGTTTGAGACCCACAGAAATCATACAAAAGTAAAATTCAGTATCAGTGTCTAAGTTCTCACATGCCACACTCACACGCTCACTGCCTCTGCTCCTTTGTGCTTTGATGGTAGGAGAGACCACATGACTTGCAAAACCAAAATATTTCCTATCTGCCCTTTCTGTGGATAGGAATGCCAAGCTCTCTTCTGGGTCCTTCTGGTATAGTACTCTCTCTGCAGAGGCCGCCTCCACAGCAGCCCCACCGTGTCCCCTGTCCAGAGCCCCCTGTCTAGGAAGATAGGAAGCAGGCTTGGGAACAGAGGAGGACAAGTCCCCCCTGGTTGCACTTCTCTCCAGCGAGGGGTGATGGGAGGAGGGCCCCTCCGTCAGCCTCTGACTACCTCTGGCCTGGAGCAGTCTCGGGCGAGTGTGGGTCTAGGTGACCACTTAGTTAGAGAAGCCTTTTCCTGGCAGGCCATCCTGGTCCCTGAGAGCTTAGCTCTGTATTTTGTAATAGACTGGGGGATTCTGTACTTTCCACTCTGTACTTTCCAATGTCATAACCTCCGCTTGTCATAGGGACAGGCTACTAACTGCAGCATTCACTGACCTGCAGACCTTATGCCTCTGTCCTTGTCACTTTGTCTGGGGTTTTGGTTTATTTGTTTCTGATTCGTTTTGTTTTTGAGACAGGGTCTCACTGTGTTGCTTCACCTGGTCTCAGATCTGAGAGCCTCCTGTGTCAGCCTGAGGATGTCGGCATGTCCACACCCAGCAAATTATATGCAATCCTCTTTCACATATCCCGAAAGAGATAGATGACCTATTAGACAGTAAATCCTAGGATGCTTGCAATGGTTGTCTGTGGTTACAGTAACTTTTGTGGTGAATCTTAACTTTCTTCTTACTTTTATATACTTTGTAATTAAAGAAAAACATGAATCATCTTAATCTGCATAGAAAAGAGCAGCCATTTTCAATTCAAAAAATAAGTAAGAATGATGCATCTGCATGTGGGTGCTGAGATGATTTAGGTGGCTGTGATGTAACTGCTGGAGAGATGTGCCCCGGACAGCTCCCCAGTCATCCGAGCGGGGGTGAATGGGTGTGGAAGTTAGGTCATCACTGTGGATATAGAATATTCCCAGTATATACACCTGGCCTCACTGCCAATGCTAAGGATGGAGGTGTGGATCTTTGCTGATTTTCCCTCCTCCCTTTGTCCTGTCTTGAGAAACAGAAGCCCAGTATGTTGGACTATTTAAAAGCAGTACCTTGTCGCCACCTAGTGTCCTTGTTCTGTTATGTCACCTTTGGCCATCCCGGCCCTCTTCATAGTCTGTGTCTGCTCTGAAGGCAAATGCATGGTGACTTGGTAGCTACGTCTCGGGGTAGGGAGCATTCTGCAGGGCAGTGAGAATGGTTCATCAATCCCCACTTCTTCCTGTGGAAGCCACACAAAGCACGTCTTCCCAACAGAAACAAGGGAGCCTCTTAGCAGGCAGGGCTGCTGAAGCCAAAGCCGCCGGCCATGCCTCTTGGCAGGAGTGTGGCCAGTGGCTTCAGGGGCAGCCTCAGGTTTGGGAGTCTGGGGCGGGAAAAGAGGTGTGTGTCTCTTGGTACTCTGTTTGGCACATAGCTGGCTTCTGGAAGGTCCTGTGCCGCTCCAAGCCTGACCACTCTAGTGGGCTCACCCATCAGCCCCTGTACCCCACACCAGTTGCCGTTCTATGCCCCTCTCTCTTGAGTACCTTCCACTACCTGAGTTCTCAGTTTTGCGTTCTGTTTGTTCTAGAACTTGCCATTCTCCTGGTCACAGTCCGGCCCTAAGGTGCAGAGAAAGCTGTGGCTCCCCCTCTGGACAGGCCTCCCCTCCCTCTTGGGATCTCTGCTTTGGTGGGGGCGAATGAGTCTTTGTCAGAACAGCCTCACCTTGCCGTCGGGCCTCAGACTTTCCAGTGGTTTCCAGGGGCTTCAAGGAGAAAGGCCAGAATTTTCATCCGGTCCTTCTCAGTCAGCTGTACCTGTCTTTTCACTGGCCCTTTTTCCCGCCTTGGTCCCACCTGAGAGTCCTGTTCAGACCCTAGAGCACTGCTCCGTGTCCGTCCACGGCCTCCGTGTCTTCCCCACCCACCCCACCCGTGTAGTCTTGCCCAACTCTCAGTATCAGTCTTACACGGTGGGTCCTCCAAACCTTCCTTTCCCCGTGGTGACTGGGGAGACATTGGTTTGTGTCTAGAGACAAGTTTGGCTGTGACAGTGAAGAGCAGGGTGGCACTCTTGACTGCACAGTCACTGGGCACCTTCAAGAGCAGAGAATTGTCCCAGTCACCGATTCACAGGCTGAGCCGGAGAGGTCAATCCTGTAGTGAGTTGGCCCTAAACAGACGTGGCTCTGTCTCATCTCCTAAAGCTTCCCAGCTCCATGGATGGAAAGACAGACTGACCTTTAGAAGAAGCCATTCTTTCTGTGGGCACCTTTGCTTTTAAATCATTTAAAGACTACATTGCGTTTACACTTTATCTGTTTGCAATAAAATTTCATCTGCAATTTTAATTAGTTGGATGGTCCTACAGTCACATGTCCTCTTCTTCCAAGAGTCTGTCCTGAGGAAAATCTGAGGAGAGCACTTCATTAGTAAAGGGTGACATGGGAAGGGTAGTTCTAAGTGATCCTTAAGACACATTGAATATGGACATTGTATGAGATATCCTGTCTGCTCGGCATGTGCTTTCTTAGGTATAATAATGGCCATAAGGTTAGATGAGAGGATGTTCTTGTTCTTAAAAGTTGTAGGCCAGAGTATTGAGGGCTGAAGTAACAGAGTATCTAGTTAGCTAAAAGTGTGTGTGTGTGTGTGTGTGTGTGTGTGTGTGTGTGTGTGTGTGTGTGTGTGTGTGTGTGTGTTGGGGGTCGGGGGTAAGCAGGGTAGTACATGACTACAATCCCAGGATTTAGGGGACTAAGGCAGTAGAATCATAACTTTATGGTTAGTCTGGAATCCACAGCAAGACTGTGTCTCAGAAAATAAAAAGGGAGCTGGGCAGATTGTTCAGTCAACAAAGTACTTGCCTTGCAAGCTGAGGACCCAAGTTCGATCCCCAGAACCTGTATTTAAAAAGAGAAAGATTTCCAGGTGTGAACTAGCGCTCCAGTGCATGTGACCTCAGCACTGAGTGGGTCCCTGTCCTTGGAAAGTTCCAGGCCAGTGAGAAACATTGTCTCAACAGTGGCTATCTCCTGAGAAACGACAGCCAAGGTTGTCATCTCCTATACACATTTGCACAGGTGGATGCACACTTGTGTGCAAATACACGTGTCCACATACATGTTTACACACAAAATGGAGGAATAAGTAAATGAAGAGAGGAAGGAACAGCTGATGTGGAAGAGTGCTAACAGGACTTGGGGGACTGTGGGTACGTACTTCCTGTGGAAGCATTTCCTGGAGTCAGGGGCACACGTGAGTGGCAGTAGTGCTGATGCCTGTTAACCTTACCTGTGTCTCCAGTTTGCAGCTCTCCACCCATCCACATGAAGGTGCAGCCTCTGAACCAGACAGCGCTGCAGGTGTCCTGGAGCCAGCCAGAAGCCATCTACCACCCGCCCATCATGAATTACATGATCTCGTATAGCTGGACCAAGAATGAGGATGAGAAAGAGAAGACATTTACTAAGGACAGTGACAAGGACTTGGTAAGGCCACCTTGGATCGGGTCCAGGCTCATATTCCTCTCACAGTATGTAGAGAACATACCTCTTCCTCTAGGGAGATAGGGGCTGTGACAGAGAGTCCCTAGGAGCTGCAGGCCAGCTAGCCTGGCATACAGGGCAGTGGGCAAGACTGTGTCTCCAGCAAGATGGAAAGCAAGGACCACACCTGATGTTGTCCTCTTCTCCCCACACATGTGCCATGGCTCACACACATGACCACATCACACATACAGATTGTTCCCTTTTAAACTGGCTGCTTTTCATTCATCCCAAACAAACCCCTTTCTTCTGACCGGGTTGTAAGTGCACTGTGAGTCACGACACTTAGTGAGCACTGTGTGAGTATTACCTCGTACCGTCCCCCACCTCGGCCTCCACCTCCCCACTGCCCCTTGTGTCATGTGTCAGCACACACTCTCATTGCCTGCTGGACTCCAGGGCCCAGAGACTTTCTACTCTGTGCTGTTGTAGATGCTGGGATGTCCCTGACCTCCCTCGCTTTGACCACACAGACCAAAGTCAACACATCTTTCAAAGGTACATGAATGTCTAGCATCAGACACCCGACAAGGCCCTTTGGGCATCTGCTGTGGAAGCTGTTCTCCTCATCGTTGTAAACCCTCCAGCAATCGCTAGTCTTTAAGACTTTACACAGAAACTCAGTGGCACGTGGGTTTGAAAGCCTTGCTGCTTTATTGTTAATCAAAGGAGGCCCCAGAATAATGAAGCCGGTAATTGTATATGCAATGAAAAATGCTGCAGCTCAGAGCGGGACTCTTAATGACTTACCACTTTTTTTTCTCCCAATAGAAAATCCTCCGGGCTCATTCAATCAGTCATAGAATAATACTTTTCATATTCCTTTAGATGAAGATTCTTTGACTTCATTTCCATTTATATTTTCAATTCCCCCACTAGACATTGTTATCTGGGTCACACCAGGAACAGAGAGCTCCTGAAGTTGGAGAAGGATGTTTTGGAAGACACCCAAGGTCACAGTGCACTTTAACCTTTACGTTCGCACTGGAGTCCATCAGGAGCCCTCTCTCGCTGAAGCCACACTTACGGTCATCAGCCGAAACCATCTAGGCGCTCCTTCTGTTTCTTGTTCTAAGTGGAAAATAAATATGCAGGGAGGAAGAGACACTGGCTTGGGGTAGATTCTAGTAAATTCCCACATAGATGGAGTGAAGATTTTCCTCTGGTTAGAGGATGGGGCAGAGGTCCAGGGATCAAGGCACAAATTGGATTCCGAGAAAGAGGTGTACAGAAGAGCACCTTTGGCAGCACGTCCCATTTCACAAGAATTTCTAGAGGCTTTTCTTATTTCCTTTTGGGACACACAAAATGAAGTTTCTTCTTCTGCCACATGTCGGGAGTGCTGCCTCAGGACAGCGCTCTCTTCTAGCTTACAGTTACCACGAGGCTTTTCCAGCCTTGTCCCACACCTTTTTCACAAACCGTGTTGGTGCTCAATGCTTTTTCTAAGAGAACAGAGTGAAGCCTGAAGCTCTGTAACATGACCTTAACCCCCTGTTCCCATCTGGAAGTTGTTCCCAGTTGTAGCAACCAGTGTTGCCATGGTCACATGCTGATACCAATCTAGAGGATTACAGCAGCTGTGCCAGGAAAACCCTCTCGGCAGTTCAGTTCAGACTGGCCGAGAGTGCATATGTCCTCTAGCACACCCAGAGTCCTTTAGAAGGAACCTCTGGAGACCAGGGACATTCCCCGCTTGTTCCTCCCGAAACAGTGCTGCCGGCTTTGTAGGTCTGTTCTCTTTCTTCAGTGTTGAAGGTTATGGAGAAGAAGCATTGAGGAATGGTGACCAGGATGTGGCTGATGACGTCTGATGACAGTTTTCTAGAAAGGGTCAGGCAATAAATATTTTAGTCAATCTGTTATAATGTCTTAACCTTGTTGATGTTTGGGTGAAAGTGTACAGAATACACACACACACACACACACACACACACACACACACACACACACACACAGAGCAATTGCCATGCCTATATAACTGTAAAACTTTATTTATAATAAGAGATGGCCTGCAGATCTAGACTACAGGCTGTAGCTTGCTGACTCTTGCTGCCGTTAGGTTCAATGTTCCTATGAGCAGAGTTTCCCTGGCCTGTGTCACACAACCCTGTTAGGTGGCGGTGCCTGCCATGTGGTAGCAGAATTTGGAAGACATTTAGCATATGTTTCAGGATCACACAACCAGAGAGCGGTGTGGCAGAGTAACATCTTATAACTGTGTTGATTTTGTTCTTTGTATGGAGGCCTTAAGACAACGACAACAAGAAAACATCCAGGCAGAGAATTTCTTGTTGATTTTCTAAAGTCAACATGGCTCTGTAGTTCTCTTATTTAATAACTGTGGAGGCTGTTGTGGATAATAATTACAGTTTCTGAGGTGTGGTAGTTATGGTGGAAGTCCAGGCTGTGAGACCAGGAAGGCTGGAGACGTGTCCCATGTGGACCAGTTGCTGCTACTGCTTCAGTGTTGAGAACAGATTCCCACACAAGGTTATTTCTAGTCAGTCTTTCTCTCTAGAAAAAGCCTACAGTCTGGACTGCTGGGATACCCAGGTACATCACACCCGTGGGCTTTCAAAACCAACTCAGCACCCTCTCTTTCTTCCCCTACAGAAGGCCACCATTAGCCATGTGTCACCTGACAGCCTTTACCTGTTCCGAGTCCAGGCCGTGTGTCGGAACGACATGCGCAGTGACTTTAGTCAGACGATGCTCTTTCAAGGTAAGTCTGGTTGTCCTCTTCCTGCCACCAATGTGCCTGAAGCTGCTTGTCTCTTCGGGGGCTTGGCCAGAAGTAAAGAAACGTGGTTCATGTAGGGTGTAAGCCAGATTCAGGGAGCTCTGGTCGTTTAGATCTATCCTTGGGGTTGGTTTCAGAGGCCAAAAGAAAAGGAAAACAGGGCTACTTTTGCGTTGTTTTATTGACGTTTTCCAGCTGTGCCGCTGTGTCAGATGGTGTGGGCTCCCCGAGTCCTGCCATAGGCTCTTACTTAGATGCCTGCCATGACTGGTCCTCACTGTCTTTTAACAACTAGAGCCCAAGATATAAAATTTGTCCTTCCAATTGGCACGTCACACAGACAAGTATCTTTATCGTTCCCAGTCTGGAGATCTATGTCTGTGCTAACTGGAGACCTGTAGGAGGGTCTGGGGCCAACGTGAGGGTGAAGCAAATGGAACTCTGCCTTCTTGCATTTTAATGGAGTTATTTTATTAAAGCAGTCTCAGTTCAAAGATTTCATGAATGAAATATTGGAATTTTATTTTATTAACTTAGTTTATTTTATGGGTATAAGTATTTTATCTTCGTGTGTGTATATGTCCCACATACATGCAGTACCCATGGGCAGGGCCAGGGGAGGGTAGAAGATCCCCTGGAACTGCACAAACAGACCCTTGTGAGCCGCCATATGAGTGCCAGGAACCAAACCAGCTCCTCTGCAAGAGCAGCAAGTGCTTTTAACAGCTGAGTCTTCTCAAGCCCCAGAAATATTAGAACTGTAGATAGATAGGTTGTAGCTCAGTAGTGCAGCATGTGCTTAGCATACACGAGGCTTCGGTTCACTCTCCAGCACAAAAAAGAAAATAACAAAAGATTATAGAAGTAATGGTAGGACTTGGTCTGTCTTTCCTACCCCATGTGATCCTGGCTCTAGTATTATTTACAGAAATCGGCAGTCAGCTGTGGGCCTTAGTTTGTGAATCCAGTTTCATATCAGACACTAAACGCATCATGAAAGTCAAGGTCAGAGCTCAGGCCTCACACGGAGACTCTGGCTGCACCAGCTGCTTGCTTCTCCAGGCCTCAGCTCTCCTGTCTGTCACATGAAAAGCCTGCACATCAGGCCACTGTTAGCCCATTTTCATTTGCCGTGGTTTTGTGCAATGGAGTTTCCCTAGGCATGTGTGACCATACTCAGCTGATTCTAACTTTTGAGTTGTGGATCACATTAAACATCTGGACTTCCCACTAGAAAATGCCACCGTTGTGTATAAAATTACAGACCCTATTAGCCGCGTGGGCAAGTTGAACCAGGGGCACCTGAAGACTCTGAACAATGCACATTCATAAACCCTCAAACCAATTCCTCTGAATCCTGGCAGTGGGGCCTAGCAATGTGAGTTCTAGCAAGACGGCCCCACTGACTGGCATTACGTGCTGAAGAATGCCAGGTTGGAGCTGGGCTCTGCTGGGAGGGTGCTGGGTGCTGAAATTTACCAAAGTTGCATATTTTCGTGAATAAATCTGTATCCACACATATACAAAATATTATTCCATGGTGAGCAAGCGCCTTGGGCCATGGCAGGGTCTGTGTGAGAAAGGGGAGGGAGAAGGTAGGCCAGTCTGGGAGCTCGCTGTGGCCAGGCCTTGGGACTTCAGACCCATAAATCATGATTAGGCCTCTCCTGGCCTGGACCAGGAGCCTGGGAGCTGCAGAGCTGCCTCCTTTGATTAATAGTCTTGGGCTGCCTGGCCTCTGAAAAATTAAAGGCTTATAATATAATGCAATTCTAAAAAGGCCCCATCAGGTATAAATTCAAATCAGGGAACATTTTAAATCTCTGGTCACAGTGGCTTGTTGAAAATGACCGGTATCCGCACATGCTTTCCATCTCTGCTCAGAGACACCTCCCCACAGCACTCATGGAAGCCTTGTGCCAACCCGCACCTTCATCAAGGTTAGACCACTGCCCTTTTCTGCCCAGATTTTTCTACTGCTTAGGAACAAGAGAGAGCAAGGTGCAGAATCCACCTCCTGTTCAGACTCAAGGCTTAAGAAAGAAAACAAGATCTTTGAGAATTCCAGGGAAGTTTTTTCAATAACTGCTTTTAGAAATAAGTTTACATCAGATTTGGGAGCATGGAAACCCACATGGAGTATTGTATGTAGTGATTATGAAAATATTTATGACCCATATAATATACCAAAGCATCGGGCTGGTGAGGTAGCTCGGCTGGTAAAGACAGCTGCTGCCAGGCCAGGCCTGCAGACCTGAGCTTGATCCTCAGGATCCACATGACAGAAGGAGAAAATTGACTCCAGAAAGTTGAACTCTGACTTCAAAGCATGTATCTATGGCATGCACATGCTGTGACATGCACAGGTACACACACACACACACACACACACACACACACACACACACACACACACACAAAGTAAATAAATTAATAAAGGAGAATAAAAACTAAGATGCCAATAACTGTACTTCTGGCCACTGTGATACATGTATTAGCAGCACTAATAGCAAGGGACATTGACAGTGTGGCTCCCATTAGAGTGTCACCACTTCGTCTGCTTCACCCCAACATCATGTGACAGTTTGTCGTGTGTTTGTTTGGGGGTGTGGGCTGTAGTTTTGGTTTGTTTCGGTTTTACAAATGAGGAAGTTATGTTCAGAGTGCAAGTAACTTGAGAGAAATCATTTAAGCTGCTGAGTGGAGTTCTGTGTTCTTACTCTAAGCCCCATGGCTCATGGACAGCAGTGGACCATCCTGAAGTACACATCACTCACCACAGCAGGTCTTCCACCTTGAGGAGAAGCGGCCTGATGGGCAACTGTTCTGGCCGCTCACTGCACAGTGCTCAGCAGTCAAGGATGGGGCTTCCCTCTAACATCAAACTCGTTAGGCACATCCTCGCTCACAGTGGTCTTAAGAGCTGAAATTCATCAGAGGGGAATCAGTTAGATTCATATGCGCTTGTCACAATATTTTAAACAAATCTGGGCTGTGGTGATGTGTGTGTGCATTTAATGAAAGCACCAAGTGACAGGCAGTTGGTCCTGGAGCTGCTGTCGTTGCTGAGTGATCAACATCAGCAATTCTCTGAAATTACAGAGTCGATCCAACAGCGGGAAGGTCTCAAATCTCAGAGACAAAGCCACACTTCCAGAGAATGCAGCCAAGACTCACCCTTCCACTTCCTGGAAGGAATGGGCCATCACTGGAAGCTCAGGGAAAGTGCAGATGTACTAGCTCCCTGTTAGCAGCATGTGCTCAGGCCCCTGGATCCCAGGCAAAGCACTCATGATCTGAAAGGCCCGTGTCTAGTCATCAGCACTGTGGCGGCTGCTGAGGTAGAGACTGTTCAAGACGAATCGAGCCCGCAGGCTGATGGAACGGCTCGATTGGCCTTCTTACTGCCCCTTTTAAAGGGCGTGGACCGCAGGGCTCCTGGGAGCCTTTTATCTTGTGTGACGGAAGCAGGATGTACACACATGTTTGAGTAGCTCAGTGATCATGGGGTTAGATTTGCTCCCTTAGCTGCCTATTTGACCTGTAATCTAAACAGTTGTGTTGACTAGTAGATCCATCTCCACATTTCACTCTTCATACTGTGCATGAAAGTGCATCATTAGGTCAGGGATTGTGAGCTCAAGTGTCCAGGGGGCCAGGGGCATGTTTGATAAAGTAAGAAACAGGACACCACGGGCCCAAGAAAAGGAGTGGCAGACTAAAGTTAATAACACATTCATTTTTTGTTAATAACACATTTTTTTTGGTTTGGGAGGGTCTTTTTTTTTTAATCATATAGGGCAAACAAAAATGTATGTAGGTCCCTTGCCATTTCTAGATTAGGTAAAAAGCATAGCGGCACCCCAGGAAAGATGCAAAGCTACACAGAGATACCCTGTCTCAAAAAGCTCAAAAAAAAAAAAAAAAAAAAGCATAGCGGATACATACCTCACTTTGTTAACTGGCATTTTTGGTAATGTTTTGATGCTGTGTATACAGGAGGCAGGTCTTGAGTTTATAGAATGCTCCTGTTTTATTAAATAACCACAAAAGGTTGATATATTTCTACTATAAGTTATGATGTCTAGCATTATTCAGGAGCCAAATGTGCCTCAACAAATAAATGACTAAACAAATACCGTGGAGACACACAAGAGAATATTATTGAGCATTAAAAAAAAATAAGAAATTCTGGCCCATGCTTGTGTTGCAGGGGTGACCTTTAAGGACATTATGCTAAGTGAAATATATCAGCCACAGAAATACAAATGGGCATGATTACCATATCTAGAATAGTCACATGCAGAAACATAAAATACCACCATGTAGTGGTTCCCAGGGATCAGGTAAAAGGAAATGAGTTGGTGGGTGTGTACCCGGAGTTCCGTTTTAGAAGATGAGGAAGCTCTGAAGATGGATGGTGGCGAGGTCAGCTGCGTTATAAAGTGAATGGACTGAACTTTCCTGGAGCAGACACTAAAAATGGCTATCATGGTAAATTTTATATCCTTTGCCTCTTAATACAACTTAATATGTACTGAAGTTATGTGCTTAAGAATACGGCATGGGAGAGTAGAACTACAAGAAACAAAGACTACCAGACAGGTATGCCGTGAAGATAAATGATGTGACTGTGTCAGACATATCTTAGAGACCATCAAATGCAAGCAGGAAGAAAGTGTGTGGTAGCACACAGTGTACTCTATATGAACTAATGAACTAATGTAAGATAAACCATAGGGCTGGCAAGATGACTCAGTCCGTGAAGCACTTGTGGCCAAACCTGGTGAGCTGAGCTCAGCCCCACATGATGGAAAGAGAGAACCAACTCCACAAAGTTGTCCTTTGATCTCCACATCTCCCTCCCTCCTTCCCTCTCCCTTCTCTGACACACCCACACCCACCTACACCATTCCCTCCTTCTAATAAATAAATACATACATAAATGTAACAGAAGTTTAGGAAATGATAAACTGTCATAAGTTAAAGATGCATAATAGAAAGGATGAGAGATGGTGACAATACATATATAGTCATATATTTCATATATATTCAAATATATTGTCATATATTTCATATTATATATATATATATATGAAACTCAGAAGCCCAACAGCACCTGAAAATGAATCTTACACAGGTATTAGATGTAACAATAATTCAACTGTCCATTGGAATCATGGGCATCTTACCATTGTTGAAGTTCTGTAATTATTATAAATTACAAATTTTAAATGAATTTCTTGCATCAGGAACAGCTGGCTAGATCCTGACTGTCTGAACATGTCTTCATGAATCAGCAGAGCATCATTGGTTGAAATGGTTGGAAAGTGTACAAAGGAATACTATTTTGTGACATGAAAATTATGTGTAGCTTAGATTCGTGTATCTGTAAGTAGGGTTTTGTTGGAAGCAGATGTGAACACTGTGTGTTGTTTACATTATAACTTCTTTTTTTCTCAGCTAACACTACCCGAATATTCCAAGGGACCAGGATTGTGAAAACGGGAGTGGTAAGTGCAGAAGGCTGGGTGAGCTGGTGTTGATTTGGAGACAGTTAAAGCTCTTGCCACAAGGTGTCAGTATAATGTTGTTGAACTGCCCGCATAGAGCAGCTTAGAGACAAATACACATTTTTCTGTGTAAGTTAGTATGCTATGCAGCAATATTAGTGGCGTCTATTGTATTATTTTGTCAAAATAAAAATCTTTCAGATCTGTAATTATGTATGGTTCCCTGGAATCAGATGATATAGGCGTTATCCTCCGCAGCCCTCCACTCATGTTAAAATCCAGAAGTTGTCACCCACCCACCAGTAAGAAATTACCAGTGCTGGAGATAATCGCAATCTGAAACTCACTAAGCACATTCCAGCATCCAGAAACAGGTTATTCTGTCTGCATCTCCAAACAGCCTGGGAGGGTAGTACCGTCTCTCCCATTTGACAGGTGAAGAAATTGAGGCTCATCATGACACAGAATGAGGCAAGGAGTCGACTCAAAGCTGGGATGAAGGGCTTGTCTGTGTTTGGTACTTAATCCTATGTGACACTTGATTTTGAATAATGAGCTTTCGAACTCGTCCTTAAACTGTAAGGTTTGTGTGTGTGTGTGTGTGTGTGTGTGTGTGTGTGTGTGTGTGTGTGTGTGTAAAATTGGATGAAGTTCTCAAATGTGACTTGTTCTATTGTTTTGGACTTGCATACGTGATGTGATACAATTTTGGGTTCTCTGCACCAGCTCATAAGGACTGAACTTAAACTGCTATCCCAGGACGTCTCCTGGCTCTAGTAGAAAATGGCTCAGATGAGTCACATCATCACTGTGCCCCAGTTGAACGTAAGGAAAGGATGAGCTGAGCTTCAGCCCCAGCAGCCCTGCCTCTGGCTCCGCAGCCATGCACTTTGATAAGCTCCCTGTCACCTCTGCGCCTCTGCTTCCTTGCCCGTGGAGCAGGCAGCATGGCAAGCCCTGCCCCAAGGTGGCACTCCGTAAATGGAATGCCTGCTTCTGTCCTGAATGTTGCACTGTGGAGAAATGCAGACACTGAAAGGCTCTGTGGCTGGGCTGCACTCAACTTGAAGTTGTAGAGACGTGTGTAGAGCTTGTGTCCTGAGTGTGGCCCCTGCTGACCGAGGCCTGCCGCCTTCCCTCTTGCTCTGCTGACTGCCTCCCTGTGTGATGGCGGAGTTAATTCCATCTGGTGGTTTTCCACGTCTCAGAGCTGGTAGTCAACAGCAGAAATTGACTTGAAGCATTGACTTCTGCTTCTCACCTCCCCGCCCCCCCAAACACACACAAATGGCGGGCATCTGGCCGTTTTATGACTTATTTGTTGCTTGTCTTTAAGGCACTTTTAATGCTTCTATTTCCCCATCTAGCCCAACCCTGAGCCACATCAGTGAAAAACTGAATTTAATACACTAGTTAAATGTTTTAATTCAAAGTAATTATAAAGTCACTGAAATAAGACTTGGTTTCCCTGGGCCAGCAGCCATGTTCAATGTTCATGCCATAGCTTATGAAAGCCTATAGGATGGACGAGTAATATTCTCAGGCTTTACAGAGGGGCCTCGCTTTGATTCTTGATTACTGATTTTGCTCTGCTTTTTCCTTCATTTCCCTTCTCCACACCCCGGGTGGCCCTTTCAGCCGACAGCCTCTCCTGCCTCTTCAGCAGACATGGCCCCCATCAGCTCCGGCTCTTCTACTTGGACATCCTCTGGCATCCCCTTCTCATTTGTTTCCATGGCAACTGGGATGGGTCCTTCCTCCAGTGGCAGCCAGGCTACAGTAGCCTCTGTGGTCACCAGCACACTCTTAGCAGGCCTGGGCTTCGGTGGCGGTGGCATCTCCTCCTTCCCCAGTGCCGTGTGGCCCACGCGCCTTCCTACTGCAGCGGCAGCCAGCAAGCAGGCAGGGAGGCCAGTCCTTGCCACTACCGAGGCCTTAGCTGCTCCCGGGCCTGATGGCGACTCTGCTCCTACAAAGGACAACGAGGGTGCAGAGGAAGGGGAGAAGGAGGAGAAGAGCGAGAGTGAGGAGGGAGAGCGGGAGCACGAGGAGGAGGGGGAGAAGGACTCTGAGAAGAAGGAGAAGAGTGAGGCCACCCATCCAGCGGAAGAGAGGAACCAGACCGCTCCTACCCCCACGCCTTCTTCCCCTCACAGGACTGCAGAGGAGGGAGGACATCAGACTATACCTGGGCGCAGGCAGGACCCCTCCGCCCCTGCAACAGACCAGCCAGGCCATGTTGCCCCAGACTTGGATCCCTATGAGGACACAGCCACCCAAGTGCCCCCAACAGCCACAGAGGAACATTATTCAGGGAGTGATCCCCGGAGGCCCGAAATGCCATCTAAAAAGCCTATGTCCCGAGGGGACCGATTATCTGAGGATAGCAAATTCATCACTGTTAACCCAGGTAAGTGGTGCTGGTCCACACCTGAGGGTCCAGGTTGCTTTGAGCAGGCTCGACCTATTCCTAAAAGTTGGGGGGTCAAGGGAGTAAGGAGTGGAGAAGTAGGTAATATCCTTGGGATTGTGTGGATCCCTGGTGCGTCTCTGCCTGCGACCACATCTTGTCCATCCTGGTAAGATGCATTCTCTTCACTGGAGCAAGTCTTTCTCTGCACTTCTGTCTTTCAGAAGAACTCCAAGGCCTCAGACAGAGATCCAAATGAAGAAAGTGGCCGCTGGTTCTAAAACGTTTTCCATTCCTATTCTATTCCTGGGGCGGGGGGTAGCCAAAGAAAAGTAAATTGCTTGTCTTGAAAGCATGAAGTTTTAAAAGAAGTCAAGCATGGTTACATGCACTTGTAACCCCTGCACTGAGGGGACAGAGTCAGGCAGATTTCCGGGGCTCAGGGGCCAGATAGCCTAGCCTACTTTGTGAGTTCTGTATCAGTGAGAAACCCTCTCTAAGGCATGCATGCACATGCAAGCATTTTTATTCCTTAATCGTTTATTAAACACATTTATTTCTGGGTAGCCATTGTGCCAGGCACTAGGCTGGATGCTCTGCCAGGGAAGCCCCTTGCCTGCATACTGGAATAGAGTGGATGACGGAAAAGTGATTGACAGCAGCTGCCTAGAGCACATTCCAAGGAGTTAGGTAATGGAGACTTAGGAGAGTGAGCAAGCCAGGAAACTGCCCAACTGGGATGTTCAGTTGTGAAAGAGCAGCAGAAGAAATAGGGTGCTGTGACCGACAATTATGGGGAGGATGGAGGCCCACCTTAAGTGAGAAAAGGTGACATGTCCAGTCTGGGGAGTCCGTGGTCCTGGCCTGAGCAGTGTGGCTGGCTGGCCTCAGGCTGTCCCTGGCTGCGTGAACTACCCATCGGTAGCTGGGGAAGCATGCATGGCTGGTTCGGCCTCCACTTGCTGTGGCACCAGAGGCAATGTTTTCCCTCAGTCACGTGCTCAGATCTTAATGAGCCATCATGATGCTTGTGCTGGAGCTGTGGCATGAGGGGCTGCTACTGTTGTGAGGGCTTTTCTTAATAAGAAACCCTTCGTGTTGCCAGACTGCAAGACGTTTAGCAACAATGTTTTTTTCATTTAAGCTGTTGTGGAGTTATGAGTGCAAAAAAAAGGCAACTGGTAAATATTTATTTGCTTTTGCACTTGTAAACATTAAAATTCATCTAAAGCTGAGATCTCGTATGTTAAGATTCAACTTAGAATACATTTTCATGTTTTGAATTACTTTCCCTTAAAGCTGCTATGAACTAATTTTTTCCAAGTGGGGGTCTCCCATGGGTGTCATTCGGTGCGGGGCAGTTTGACAGACAGTCACAGTAGCCTTGTATAGATGACGGAAGCGCGGGGCCATTGATGAAGCTGTTCTTGTGCATTCCCCCTGAGAGACTGCTGTGTAAAAACTGAATTTCTTGCATTTAAATATAGGAAAGAATACGGAGTCCCTTCCCACTGTGTGCAAGGTTCTAGCCTGGGCATTAGGGAAAGACTGTCCATGGAGACTTCTCTTCTCCCAGGGGTGCATGCTCATGGGAAGGGTTGAGGATAGATATCCCAGCAAACAAATGCATTTAAACAGAAACCAGTGTGGGGAGTCAGCCACTCACAGACTCATGAGAGAACGTTCTGGGCTGCTGGAGTGGCAGGTCTAGAGATCCTAAACTGGGAATGAGCTTGGATGGGTTGAGAAGCTCCCTGTGGAGAAGGACCATAGAGAGGGGGGAGTGGTAATAAGGATTGAGTCAGACACTGGGAGAGCATGAAAATGAAGGGAGCATTGGCCATGCTGAGGGTCAGATTTTAATGGAAATAGCACACTAGGGGGTAGATACTAGCAGGAGAAGTTACTTGTGTCATCGACCTTTTCTCAAGCACACTTGCCTATGCTAGAGATGGAGGAGGGGCCCTGTGGCTTGGGCCAGTGTGTTTCCGCTTTAAGACAAGGGATAGAGTCCACTCAGCCTGTTATGCAGAAAGTCCACAGATAACTGATAAAGGAATTGTTTACTAAGGAATTATATTGAGGAGAACAGTTCCCTAACACAGGAGAAGGCAAATCCTACACAGAGTCCTGGAAGGCTGAGAGCTGGTCCCACACTACTTCCCGCTGCCGCCTGAGTCAGTCTCCACCATCCAAGAGTGTGCTCTTCAGGTTTTAAGCTAGCCAAGAGGCCATGCCCTAGGGGCTGGAACCCCAAGGTCATAGGTGGAACAAATACCCACTACAAGGCTGCTTTTCAGAAACATTTCTTTGCTGTTCTTCTGAAGACAGTGCCTGCTGTGTGCTTGCGTAGCTTGGGAAGCTGCAAGGCTGGGCTCCAAGACTAATTCTGGTGAGCGGAAATTCCAGAGAAAGGGAGAAGAGAGTGAACCCTGGGATTCCCAAGTCCAGCCTCCATCCCTGTCCCATCCCCTCCCACCCCAGCATCAGAAAACATTTACAGTTGGCGGGAGTGGCCTTTAGAGTCGACTCAACTCAGTAGGTCTTCCCCCTCATTCACTTGACCCTCAAGTAAGTTTGTGCCAGTGACCTTGTCTGCAAAGTGCCAGTAATGAGAGAAGTCCTCAGTGCAGAGATAGTGCTCATAAAGCTGCCTGTCTTCGTGTGTGTGTGTGTGTGTGTGTGTGTGTGTGTGTGTGTGTGTGTGTGTGTGTGTGTGGACAGGAAGTTTCAACACAGGGTTTCTCTGTGTATCCCTGGCTGTCTTGGAACTCACTCTGTAGACCAGGCTGGCCTCCCACATGGATCCACCTGCCTGTGCCTCCCGAGGCTGGGATTAAAGATGTGCACCACCACTGCCCAGCTAAAATTATTGGAGAAGTTTAGAATGGCTGCCGTGCAAGGATGACACACAAATCCCTGAAAGACGCCTGTCTCACCAGTGCTCAGGAGTGCTGCCAGCAGCCAAAGCCACAGAACAGTGGGAACTTTGCGGGGCATCAGTGGGTCGATTCGCAATCTGAATGAGCATTAAAGAGCAATTCCCCAGCTACCTGAAGTTAAAATGACCTACAGGAGTTTGATAATGTAACTAAATCGACAGAGTGCTTCTTTATCATGCAAAAAGCCCAGTGCACTGCAACACTGCATACACCATGCATGGTAACACACACCTGTAATCCCAGCACTGCATACACCGGCACGGTAACACATACCTGTGATCCCAGCACTCAGAGGGTGAGACAAGAAGATCAGAAGTTCAAGGTCATCCTAGGCTCCATAAAGTTCAGGGACAGCTGGGGATACATGAGACTGTCCAGGAACACTCATCTGTCCTGTGATCTCTGTAGTCAGAACAGCAAGGTCCACCTCTCCCTAAAGCCACAGAGAATGTTCTGAATTTCTGGTGATTTGAATTCGAAAGTGGTTCTAGGTTGAAATCATGACTTGCAAACCTTTAGGAGAAAAACCAAGTAGTGAACAGTTTTTCCAGGCCACAGTTCTCAGCTCTCAGGTTCAGCCTTACAGCACACACAGCCACGGACAGGATATCAGTGATTGGCTGTGACTGTACGCCAGGCCGTTCTGTTCATAAAAACAGGCAGTGGGCCTGATTTGTCCCACACTCTGTCATTTTCCAGCCTCCAGTATAAAATGCAAAAAAAAAAAAAAATGTATGTGTTGTTTAATAAAGGATTCAGATAACTGAGGGGAACGGCAAAGCCCCATCAGTGTGTGGTCCCAGGATCTCAGTCCTCCTCCACCCTTCCTACCACGCCCTTCACCTGCTCTGCCAGCTTGGATTTGGTTTTGTTTTAACTGAAATAACCATCATTTTTATGTTGGTGGTGATTGATCTTAGAGACTTTGGGTATGTATTTGTTTATTCCAGAGTTAAATTTTCTTCTCATGAAGGAAAAATGTCACTGAATCAGTCTTGAGTGTCTTTGAAAAATCAGCAGTGCCTAAAGTTAGCAAAGTACGTTACACTTCAGGCAGTATCCCCCAGAGACTCGCTTAGACGCCTTCCGTGATGGTGACGTCACTGCATCCCTGAAATCCCTCCATGGAGGTCGCGGCAAACTCAGGCACACAGAAATCAGACATCTCAGTGAGAGGGAAGACCAGATATTACATAATACAGAGTGTCGAGGACACTAGCAAACTCTGGAGTGCCACCTCAGCTCCCACGGTTGTCACTGGAAACTCGCGTGAGTCAGAAAGCCTAGTTTGGGGCAGAGTACTCCAGTTTTTAAATCTTAAAACCAATTTGCTTTGGCATATGCCAAATTAAATATGTCCCTGGGCCCACCACTGGAGTGGTGACTGCTACCATCAGTCATTGTGCTGGCAGTGATCTTAGGGTCTGGAGGTGTGTGTGTGTGTGTGTGTGTGTGTGTGTGTGTGTGTGTGTGTGTGTGTCCTTCACCAAACCTTTTCCCAGCATCCTCTAGTGCCCAGGCATCCCTGGATCAGTGCTGCATGGACATCTAGCCTGTGAGTCCTCATTAAGGAGCCATAGCCTGCAATGTGAGGCAGATTTGAAGCCAGCTGATGTAGTTCCTGGATGGTGTGTGAGAACAGCATGCCATAGCGTAAATATTTCAGAGTGCATGCCACCTGGGAGCTCATCATTTAGGGCTGGGCTTGTCGGTGTTTGCCTCCGTAGGTGAGGGAAACGATGTTTTTCAAATCACACCCTACTTAGAACCTACTTACTACCCCTTCAAGTCTGTCCCAAGCTGGGTGCTGAAGATGATGGTGTGGGTCAGGGATGGCAAATGACAAACTTCAGGACACAGCTTATATGACCCGGTGTTATATGGCCCATGAGCTGTGAATGCTGAAAAGGGACATAGGTGGTTCCTAGGTTGCTGCTGTGCTCTGAGCTGAACCACAGTGGCGGATGCTGAGACCCAGAAAGCCTGCTCCTTTGGGAAGTGTAGAAAACCTCTAAGGGACCCAACGTTAAAAAGCTAGTTATTGGAACAACACCCTGG